TGGAATGAGCCTCACTCCTGTAGACTGGAGAATGGATAGAGTAGGAAGGGTCCAGAAAATAAAAGGAGAGAGGTCTGGGACACACAGAAAACCTCCCAATAGAATAATGCAGTTTGCAGCTTAGGCAGCAAGGAGGCCAGTGAAATCCAAGGGGCTTCTGGGAGCTGGTCATCTATGTGAGCAGTCTAGGAAAACCCAGAGTTCCAAACTGCACTCCAGCTTGAGGTCACCTCCTCCTGAGAGCCCTCCCTGATCCCTCGGACTGGGCCTGGGGGCCCTCAGTAACAGTCCCTCCTGAACACCTCTGCGGAGCCCTAAGGAACTGCTGTCACAGAGGGTTTCTTCATTCCTATCCCCAGCAGCCAGCTCGAGCCGTGTCTTAATTCACCTTTGCACTCACAGCACCTTGCTCAGTGTCTGGAACACAGTGGGTGCTTAGTAAACATTTATTGACTAATTCCTATGTACTTTGGAATACAACACACTTTGATTTGAAACCTGAGTCTGCACTATATGATCCTGGGCAAGTTACATCATTTCTTTAGAGCCTTATGGTCCTCATCTAGAAAAGGGGGTGGTCACCAAGATTAGGTGAAAATAAGAATGTATGGGAAGTGCTTAATTGAAGCTCTGGCGGTTGGTGAACTCTCAAATCCTCCCATTTATGATCACTGCACCACAGGAGGACAAGGCTGAGAAGGGTTCATTCTTCCCCTTTCCCCAATCCTCTGTGGTTTTGTGCTTCCAAAGGAGTGGGGTACAGCAGACTGATGGCAGACCGCCGCTTACTTCAGTAATGGAGGTGACGGTTCAGCCAGGCATAGCACAGAGAGGCCTGTGTGCAGATGCTTGTTCTTGGGGGAACAGAAAATAGAATTTCCCAGCACACCAAAGTCCAGCTGAACCAATTTACTAAACTCACTTACAAACCAACCATTCGACAGCTTCACATGCCCAAGAGAGGGGACAGGAGTATACCAGGAGGCAGACAGCTGGTCCCTCCCCCAGGCTGGGCCTTCTTGCCGTGTCACCAAAGCCATTTTAACGTCCCTGAGCTTCAGGGTCCTCATCTATATAGGCAAGGTTGCTGAAGGAGTACCTGACCTAATACAGGTCAAGCACTTGGCAAGTTGCCTTGGCCAGTGTGTGCTCCATACGTGCAAATGACAGGGCGACGGGCTCGCTCTCCTAAGTTACATCTGCACGCATCTGGCCGAATGCTTCTACTTTACCTGACCCTCACCAGACCTCATTTTGCAGATAGATGGCTTGATGGGTAAATGGCCAAGCCTGATGGCAAAACCAGACTGTGCCCTCTCAAAATGCAGATGCTACTCACAATGCCCACCACGAAGGGGCTCAGTCCATGCAAACTGACCTCGAGGGAACCTCTGCAATTTAGGAAGAGGGTGGGGGAGGGAGGTCACCCAACGCCTGGTGCAGCAAGCCTCACAGCAGAGTTCAAGATGGCTCTGAAGGCAGGAAGGAGGGTGACCACGTGGCACAGGCTGGTGGGGCGCAGAGCAATTGAAAGTCAACTGCTGCCTCTCTTCAACCGCAGTCTGAACAGGGAGGAAGCACGTAACAACTCTAACAACTCGGGTACTATTTCCTAAGATCTAAAGAAAGGTGTGTCAACTCCCTTTCTTACAAGTTTGAAAGCAGTTTCCAGTGTGAGAAAAACCCCAACCCAGACTGCACCACCCCCACACCCTTCCAATAACCCTTCCCCAGAGCCTGCCCCCACCCCAGGAATTCCTAGCAAGGACTTCTTTAGAATTACAAAGGTGATTCAGAACCTCAGGTGGAAAATGCCCAAACAACCCAACTGGAAAGATTCTGAGTTTTCATTTTTCCTTAAACCAATTTCCTGAGGCCTGAGGCAATGCCCCAAGTCGCATCCGAAAGCGGAGCCCGGCTTTCTGAGGCTAAAAAAAGTCACGCTAACAAAATGCTTCCACTGGTTTTCATTTCTTGGGTTTTTCCTATGAAGGAAGGAGACTGGCCCAGTTGGAGATGGTCTGAGAGTTTTTTGGCTGCAGATGGGGACAGGGCTATCCATAATCCTCTCCAAGTTACACTGGCCTGATGCCCAAATCCTTTTTCTAAAAGTTACCTGCCCTCTTTGCGGGGCATTTAACAGGACCTCAAAATAAGAGATATTTTGTTTGCTCAAACACCTTAAGACAGCTATCTAACCTCCCAAACTCCTACCACCAGCTGCACCCGGCTGCCTCACCCGACCCCCCTCTTTTCCCTTCTCCTCGTGTTTTGAAGTTTATTTTCCCACATTCAGCCTTGAATTCTTTCCTTCCTGCAGTGGTTGGTGGAGGAGCAGCGAGGGAAACTTCGAGGGCAGCTCGATTCTTTATCATACTCGCCTGCCTTCTTCCCCTCTAAACAAAGCCCTGGAAGAAACTAAACAACAGCTCGTCATCCAGAAGAATTGTTTCCTCAAGGGAAATTATAAAGTGACCCCTCCCCAACACATGCACACAGGGCAGATACCCAGCCAAAGGACCCACATCGCCCCAGTACTCCTGCTATTACGAGCTAGACCACCCAACTACCTCCTGAAGCTCATCTCACCAACCTCTGGCCTCCCACCAGCTCCCCACCCGGGAGAAATCAAACACCCAACCTGCTGGCCTAAGCCTGCCCCGCTCCAGCGGCCCTGAGAGGACCAGCCTACTTGCCTGGCGGCCAGGAGGCACTGATATGCTCATCTGTGCATGCCTATCGATTTGGGGACAAAAAGGGAGCCACCAGCAGACGGCTTCATGTTTTCCAATGCTTTCAACCTTCCAACAGGTTCAAGGCAGGAAAGACGGATGAAGACGGGTTGGCTCCCATTTTACATATAGGGAAACTGAGGCCAGAAAAGTGAGACAACCAGACAGCCACAAAGTATTGGTGGACTGCTGTGCATTAAATGTTCCTCATCATAGCTCTTTCATGGTGTCTTTCACCCCAAGGGAAATGTAACATCTTAGATCAACTACCCTTACCCCACCCAGGCTCTTACTCAGGTCCTGGTCATTCCACTGGAGGATGCCATTAGTGCAGGCCAAGGGGGGACGATTAAAGCTAAGCATCTTCTAGAAACTGGGGTAAACTCAAATCCCAAACTAGCCAAGGGTCGCTATAGCCCAGCGAGGTCAATGCCATCATAGGGCAGATGAACCAGAAGAAACTTCCAGTGCCAGCACAGAAAGAAACGCTCCCCAACATCTCCCATTCTGCACAACCTCCCCTCCCCCCCGCCCCCAAATGGACTCCGGGTTTTGGCCTTTTGTTCACCCTCCTACTTTCGCAAAGTTTAACTC